TGACCTAATCCTTTTGAAGGGTGGTTTTCACTCGTGACAAAGTCAGGGTCATAGTCAGAGCACTCATCACTTAGTGAAAATCAAAAATCAGAGTTGCAAGGGAAGTGATAACTAGAAGCTTGATGGAATTGGAGTCATCACAACTTTCTACTCTTCAGATTCTGCTTATGATGTAGAAAACCAGATTAAGCAGTGGTGTAATCGTCGAAGGATAAACCACTTACCAGTCAAAATTCTTGTTCCCATGCTTTATAGTTTTCACTAGATCAACACTCTATGCTTTTGATTACAGTTCCGACTCTGTATCTTACTACTAAACCAGCCCAGCCCTTAATGACTTGGCAAATGTTTTAAACTATATTTTACTCCACAGATATTATGTTTAAAAAAATCTTGCCAAATCTTGGTCTATAAGAGTGAAAGAAAACTTCCATGAAAAAAATTTTGACAATTTGGCTACACCTTGCGAGGTTGTCCTGAATTAACATTCAGCAAGAACTGAGGTATTTGCCAAGTCATTAAAAAAGGGAGGAAACATTGACAAGTGTCTACCCCAGTCCACTTTCAAGCAATGCCTGATCTAGAAAAGTCAAGATGGCTTTGCATTGGGTGTATGATACATTAAATACACAAAAACACCCAAGCAATATTATCACTGCATCAATCTTCTTCTGAGAAAACTGACAAATAATGCCTCCCTTTGTCACAACAAAATCCTGAATTTTCCTGTCAACATCTGCATCCCTCTGCAATAAAAACAAATGTTGTAATTTTAGAAATGATAAAAACAATAATCAAAACACAACAAACAGTGCATACACATAAAAAGTCAGTATGGTCACAACAATACTATTGTCAAAAAAATGTTGGTTTAATTACTTCTTTCCAGTTTTCAGGTATGCATGTATGGTATACTGTATAAATTATAGTTTGTTGAAATAATGCTTCCTTTATGTTATGGGAAAAAGAATGACAGCATAATTATGTCTAATACATTCACACATCATTGAGGAGGTAATTACAGTGTGCATGTCCTGATACAAGAAGATTATTTTAGTACATGTATTTCTCACCAGTCAAGAAATTTTGCAGCTGTAAGTCAAAATTTATTAAGTATTATAATGTAGCCATTATTATTCTGTGAGATTTGGTGTAGTCTGGTGACGGGAATGACCCCCAAGGGATACCTTCATAACAAAAGCTAAATTCCATCTCAATTTTGTCTGACTTCCACTTGTATCTGGGCTTCCCAAGCATTTAGGGTTCAATGTACAGTTGAGTTTGTAGTACTCCTGTGGTATTTTGAATCACAATATCAGGAAAAACATTGTATTCCCAAAACACCTACCTCTACAATAGTGATAAATTCCTCCCAAGGTCCTCTTAGCACTCCGATCAATGCCGCAGAACCTTGTTCACTACCCAAAGGATGCCCGCCTTTCTATTTCTGCCATAGGAGAAATGTTATTAAATTAAAACTGGTTGACTTGGAGCAACAAGTTTATTTACACACAGTTCTGAGTAATTGTGGGAGCAAATTGACTGACAGACCCTCTTACCTCAATCACACCTGCAGAATTCTGCAACCTAAAATTCTATTTCCTAATTTTATGCATAACATGAGAAGACACACAGGGCTTGCACTGTAAGTATCTTGGAGAGCTCCATACAATTCCTTATAATTTTGTAATAAGGAATTGTATGGAGCTTTCGAGGAGACTTTTCTTAATTAGCTTAGGCGCGGCGGATTTGGTCACGTATGATCAGCGCGAGGTGTTTTTCCCGACACCCTTCTGTCAGGAAAATGTCATCATATGAAAGCAAACCAGACACGATCGCGTCGGCGGGCCGAAGCCAGCAAAAATATTTAAAAAGGCTTTTCTTCTTCCATTTCAGAGGTCAGTTTTGTTTCGATCTGGTAAAAAATCAGGTTTTTAGGTTGTAGGTAACAAAATATTGTCTTATCCTGTTCTCAAGGACCTTTAGAAAACGAGACAAACGAGATAATTGACTAGAGAAAGAAGCATGAAAACGCTTTTTTGGAAGAAAATATTTTTTAATTCCCGCAGAGATTTTGCGAAATCGCGAAGCGCAATATATTCAGTTTCTTCCAATGCCTTCATGATTAAGCAGTGTAATGCCATCACAACAAAAAATGAATTCAGTTTGTATCGCAAAAGCCGGGAAAATAGAGCTGAAAAAAAAATGGATCAGAAAAATTAATAAAATCACCAAGAAACCGTCTCGCGGGAGCTTTGTCAAACAAACCTTTGGTACGGTTTATTTAACCTAACCTGGAAAAGGAGACGTCTGCACGCAGAATACATTTCATACTACATGTAGTTGTAATTTCCAGAACGGACCTCGGGAGCTTCATTGCCGTAATATCTTCTACATTACAGAAACCACAGCAGAATCGCCCTGCTCGCTTGCTAACTTTCCGCTCCAGTTATGACTATACAGTAGTATACCAGTCAATTGTTTCAAAATTCAAAGCGGCGGAAACTTATTTCCATCAGCGCGTAGTTAGCTAGTTAAGCAATAATAATGCACAGCACTGTAAATAACACGGTTCTAGAATATCTGACGGCTTCGCGTTTTGTTTGTCGCTGCATGCGATTTAATCGCTTATAACCTAACAGAAAATTTAAATGTACCTGAAGGAAATACCGTGTATTACCTTACCTTAACGCTGTGATGTGTGTAAATTTGTCTTTTGCTATGGTTTTAGACAATACGACTTCTCCTGACTATCAATTGTGCGTCAAAACAAGCGCGATAATGAAATAGTCTAAGTGCCATGGTGTAGCACTTTATGACAAAGTTTTAACTGGAAAACTTGTTACTATCTGATGTACACCTGTATAGTCTATGTTTGTAAGCTCTGCCTAAAGAATCACTGGGTTACACTGCACCCATGGGTGTGCCACCTAAAGTGCAGCCTATGTTTGTTAGCTCTACCTAAAGAATCACTTGGTTACACTGCACCCATGGGTGTGCCACCTAAATTGCAGCCTATGTTTGTTAGCTCTACCTAAAGAATCACTTGGTTACACTGCAGCCTATGTTTGTTAGCTCTACCTAAAGAATCACTGGGTTACACTGCACCCATGGGTGTGTCACCTAAAGTGCAGCCTATGTTTGTTAGCTCTACCTAAAGAATCACTTGGTTACACTGCACCCATGGGTGTGCCACCTAAAGTGCAGCCTATGTTTGTTAGCTCTACCTAAAGAATCACTTGGTTACACTGCACCCATGGGTGTGCCACCTAAAGTGCAGCCTATGTTTGTTAGCTCTACCTAAAGAATCAGTGGGTTACACTGCACCCATGGGTGTGCCACCTAAAGTGCAGCCTATGTTTGTTGGCTCTACCTAAATAATCACTGGGTTACACTGCACCCATGGGTGTGCCACCTAAAGTGCAGCCTATGTTTGTTGGCTCTACCTAAATAATCACTGGGTTACACTGCACCCATGGGTGTGCCACCTAAAGTGCAGCCTATGTTTGTTAGCTCTACCTAAAGAATCACAGGTGGACTCGAAGTAGGACAAACCTTGTGATTTTTTTCGGCGCCCCTTGCGCGCAAACTAATTTATTCTGGTGCAAAATGAAGATTAAGAAAATGTATCTGAAATCTAATACACGACAAGAAAATTTTCGCACTTTCGAGGAGCGCGACATATTAAATGGGATTAAGTCGGATTAGCTGCCCTTGGAGAAAACATCCCTGCGTGGGATGGTACTTCCAGTAAAAAGCCTCTGTGTCCTCTCATGTTTATTATTATAATTCACATTATTGAAGCAGAATTCTGCAACCTAAAATTCTATTTCCTAATTTTATGCATAACTTTATTATTATAATTCACATTATTCCTTCAACCCTTTAAGCCTTGAGAGTGATCAGCATCAAATTTCTCCTTGAAATATCAATGCTTTGTAAAACAGAGTGTTCATGAGAATTATGGACATGATCACACAATCTGCTTGATATTTTATCAACTTCTTCCCACTACTTCTGTAGGAAATGAATAGGGGCAACAAATAAGCATTCAAATTTTGATCTTAGGGTTAAAAGGGTTTTAAATTTCTATTTTTAATGCATATATTTTGCACTTTTTTATCAGACAAGAGAAATAATACATTGGTAAGGTAAACCTTACTTAAAACAGAACAAGTACTGAAATCTACAGTGTAAATATATAACCAGACCACACCACCCTTACCATCTTCTTTAGTTGAAATGGCTTTAAGGTTTTTTCATTAGATATGTTTATCATTCTCCCTGTTTTAAATAGGGGACAGTGAGGGGATGGAAGAAGTGCTTTTTAACTCCTCCACTGGCTTAACTACAGAATACAGGGTCACTTATTTCCTTATCATTAGATAATAAAATTAAAAACATCTAATGACCCGTTCTTCAAAGCCTTCCGACAAGGTGGACTTGAGTAACCTGAATTCTGTTTCATCAAACGTGGTTAAAATAGCTCAGTCTTTTGCATTTGGTAGAAAGAGAGCGAATCAGGGCGGCTTACCTGGTCTTACTATCGGCTTTTTCCAGCAAAGTCTTGATTCTTGGAGAGCGTTTGTTATATTTGTGCAGTTCATCTTGAAAACCGTTGCGCCTCACGAGGCTTCTGT